GCAGGAATATTACAGGTGGCAGAATTTTTTGCTTAGGGGAAAAATAAAAGGACTGCTTACTCAGATTAAATTTATTAGAGAATCTTAAAGCAGTTTTTATGACATTAAATACAGATTTTCTAACTATTTGTATGACCAAATGTACTGTCATAGCAAGTAGATCAGAAAAAAAAGGGGCATGGAAACAATTATTTGTAAGAGAATGTTTTATGTATTGGCATACATTTAGTTTAGAAATCTATACTTATATATAAATGCAAAAATCCATTAGAAAAAACTGTCAGATACAGTAGCAGCCATGCAAATCATGGTAGAGCATTTTCATTGTCAGTTTTTTAATTGATCTTTACATGTTTGATTTGCTCATGTGATTAAAAATGGCTATTAGGCATAAGGAAATGTAGGCTAACAGTTATATGTGGGCTGTAAGTTTTGCTAGTAGCTGTTAGTCCTTCTGGGACTCGTTTTGCATTTTAAAAAAGGGACTATGATATTTTATGATTTCAGATTGAATGCTAATTCATGTTTCTGGCATGCTTTGGGTCCCTTAAAAAGATACTGCATGGGAATGAAGTTAGTATTTGTTATTGTTATTGCTAACTACCAGAGTGTCACATGCTAAAACCTTTTAGAAACAGCTGATCTGTTTGTGTTCTTAGCTGGCATGCTATCATCGTTGATGGACACAGTGTGGAGGAACTTTGCAAAGCCTTTGGCCAGGCCAAACATCAGCCAACAGCTATCATTGCAAAGACTTTTAAAGGCAAAGGCATATCAGGTAATAAAATATCCACTGCTTTTCGTACACGTGAGTGTCTATAATAATAGGTAGTGCTGCAATAAAAGTGCTATCATTTAAAAATTCATGTTTTAGGAAAAGGTAAGCCATCAGCTTTTTGACTTGGTCATACTCCCGTACAATCTGAAAACTCAGAACTTCACCCTGTTGCTTTTTCCCCTCTATTTCTTGTGAAGGACCTTAGGTTGATGCTTCAGTGGAAGCAGGCAAAGATGTGGCTCCCAGTTCTTCACGTTATCCAGCCAGATGCACGTCCATGGTCCCAAGCTGCAGAGTAGGATTACCTCCGCTGTCAGCTGTACTTGAGTTGTTTCTCTTTAAATTCTAGTCTGGAAGATGGCAGAGGGGAACACTGGACCATATGAGTTCATCTTGAAACTTACCCTAGCAAAAGAAGGCAACCTTCTGGGCTTTTTCTTGATCCCTAGGCTCACAGAGATGTCTCTGAGAGGGGAGTAACTTGTCACAGATGCCCCCTGCTCCCTGTGTGGCAGATAACTGGGTCTGCTTGTTACAAGTCAGTCAGGCAGTGTAAGTGCATAAAAAATGAGGTGGGATGATGCAGTTCTGGAGTTTTGATAAAGCTGTGTGAGACATGGTACATAAGCTACTTGTTCACACGAGGTTATTTCATATGATCCAATGTGTGATTCATTGAAATCCAGGAAACAGTCATCCATATAAATGATTTCATAGGTTAGCAGCTGTTTGAATGTTGGAGTTCCTGGTGCCTTTAAGATCCTTTTGTAGCTTTCACCTGGGGAAGCTTAGCTATGTGGCATTGTCCAGGGGACAGATGCATACCTGCACATTGAAGCAATAGCTTACAGAAAGTCTTTCAAACTCTTGATACAACAGCATTAGTGCTAAGGAAATTATTTGAGTTCTTGCAGATGAGGTGTGTGCTAGCTACTGAGCATTGTAGCCACAGAACGGAGGACGTGTATGCCCAGGGGTTGCCATGATTCTGTTCAGCTACTGCTTTTAGCAGCTTTCCAGCAGTATTTTAGCAGCTACAGCTTTTAGCAGTGAATTGGTCTTCCTGACCAGATAAATATTAATAACAGGATTGAATATCTTCATTCTTTTTCATTGAGTAAGCAAGCAAAATTCATTAATCTTAGTGACTGACTCGGTGAAAAGCAGCGTATCAGCCAGAGAGGTAATTTTGCTGTTAGTGCTGGGTGCACAGAGTCATCAGAAGTGATTAAAATCTGTAAAATGTCAGATCTTGTTAGAATTAGAAAACTTGCTTAGCTGTTGTTTGAAACTTAGCTGTTCTTTTTTTTTTTTTTATTTAGGTCTAACTGTTGAAATTTCCTGTTAACCATTCATACTGATTCACTGTTTACTTTTTACCATAATTACAGACCAGATCTTTTACGTGCCAATTTAAAAACAATTTCAGTAGAAGATGCTGGAATTCCATCACTGGTTTGGAATATGTGGAGCTTGACCATTTCTTTTACATATTTAAACATGTCTATCTTAATGTAATTGAACACTGTTGTAATAGGGTACAGTGGGAATAATACAGAGGTTCTTCCTTGGAAGCCTATACTAGACTGTCCTACTCCACGGCACTTTTATCTGGGCAAAATCTGTGGCTAAAAACCTGAACAGTTTTTATATCTTTCTTACTTGCAATGTAATTTTAAATACACAGGTGTTGAAGATAAAGAAAACTGGCATGGGAAGCCCCTTCCAAAAAACATGGCTGAACAAGTCATTCAGGAAATAGATGACAAAATCCAAAATAAGAAAAAGCTTTCTCCAGCCCTCCCGGAAGAAGATGCACCTGTAGTAAATATTAGAAACATTAAGATGCCATCTCCACCAACTTACAAAGTGGGAGAAAAGGTACTTCCTTTCTTTTTCACTGTTTTTCAGATAGCTTTGGAGTATGAGACTCTTTAATAGATGGCAGGTTTTGTGTTACCCCTTGCCACGATTTCCATTACCCGACTCTTCTCTGTTTTGAGCATCCTTGCAAACACGTAGTTCTGTGGTGACGCACCGACATCCAACTCACTGGGTATTGAAATGTTAAAATATAGAGGCTCAAATCACGTGTCATTTTGTGATCATAATAATTTAGCATTATTTTGTGCATATTTAAAATTAAAAAAGCTTCACAAGGTTCAGTGAATTTCCTTGTTTGGAAACCCATGTTTTCAAAATTTCATAACTTTGAAAAAATTTCACATTTTCCTGGGTTGGTAGGGAGTTGTTGATTTCAGCACAGGTGTCCGTCCTGATGCCTCACTGTATTTTTCTTTTCTGGTTTACTCTTCTAAGTGTCTCTGTTCTCATACATACTTTTGATACTGCTAACACTTTAAGAAGTTTTTGGTTGTGTTTTGTTTTTTAATTATATGTGCATGCACTCAAGGAAAGCAAAGAAAACTTTCTTTTCTTTAAAAAAAAAAACTAGAAACAAAAGTTCTAACAGCACTGTTGCATTTTTCTTGCCATAGTGGGCTACCCGCAAAGCTTACGGTGTTGCACTTGCCAAACTGGGCCATGCTAATGATCGAGTGATTGCTTTGGATGGAGACACAAAGAACTCCACCTTCTCAGAGCTTTTTAAGAAAGAACATCCCAGTCGCTACATTGAGTGCTACATTGCTGAACAGAACATGGTAACTGTTCTCTTGGTTTTATGAAATACTGGTATGACACAGCAGGGCCTGAGAGCGTTCGGTCTGAGGCTTCAGAGGGTGGGGTTTTAATACGTGCTTTTTATATATGCATCCATGGATATTTAATTTGACTGGCTTGCTTCAGGGGAAAAATATAGACTATGGCAAAAACTTACAAGTGTAATACCACTGGAGTGCTTTTAATCATGCCTTCCTAAATTCCCCTCTTTCTTTTATTTTTCTGGTCATAATGTCTGCATTGGATTTATATTAGCTTAGGAAAAATTTGCCATGAAGAGCAGACCAATTTATCTGTAAAATAAATGTATGCAGTAATTGCAGCAATAAATGACTGTTCTAATTTCTAATTGTTCTATTATCCTCCTTGCTGAAGAAGGACCCTCTTAGTAAACAAAAGTCTGAGTAACACAAGTAAATCCATTCCCACTTAGCAGTGATACTTTTTGTCTCCTAGAGATAGTAAAACCATGTCCTTTGGACTGAAAGTGTAAGCCTTTGATCCAGGAAAAGAAAGAGGGGGATATGGCTGGTTGGAGCAGACAAAGAAAAGAAGCTGCTAGTAAGGATCAACAGTAACAGCTAGCAGTTGAGGCAAGGAGCTGAGGAGATGCTGGAGGATAGGTACTAGGAGAGTCAGTTGCCTCCTTTGCCTTTTGGAAAGGCCAACAATTAGGAGCAAGGCTGGACAGAGATTTTTAATCTGCATTGAAGGCTTCTTGCTGAAGTTTTACAGCAGCAAGTCCCACAGATGATCTCTTGGAAGCAATCAGTAAATGAGGAATTCACTCTTCTTGTACAATCTCCCTCTCTTTAGGTGAGCGTTGCAGTTGGTTGTGCCACTCGTGACAGAACTGTTGCTTTTGCCAGCACCTTTGCTACCTTCTTCACACGGGCATTTGACCAGATCCGTATGGCTGCCATCTCCGAGAGCAACATCAACCTCTGTGGCTCACACTGTGGTGTTTCTATTGGTAAGAGCAGCTTTGGCCTAGTGATTAGCACTTCCCATCCATTTAGTGATAAGTGTCTACCAGTCAAGCTGGTAATGCTCTGTGGAGACAAGCAGTAGTACATCTGGGATGGTGTAACAGCAGCACCATTTATAGGAAGAGGTCATATTTGTAGTTCACTGTTATCAGACACATTTATGCATTTAGAAAGAATGAGAAAGATTTCAAGCCTTCATCACCTCATCTACTTTTGTGTCTTTTATCAGTTTGGCCTGATAAAAATAGGTCCTTTCCCTGATAAACTTTTCTACTCTACAAGTACAGAGTGATCTAAAGGGGTTGGATTGGGAATTAGGAGCTTAGGTTCCTTTCCATCTTTGCAGCTGACGTCCTCTGTGATGAGAATAGTCACATGCTTAGTGTACTTTTGTTTCCCAGTCCCAAAAATAAGAAACTAATGGCACTTGTGCACAGATGCTCTTGTCCACCAATCTCAAAAACACTTTACAAGGAATGAGTATTTTTGGTTTACTGTGCCTTTGAAGGTCACTGGTTTGAAATAATCACTTCAACTTACCTCGGTATTTCTTACTACTGGAGCCATTAACGTGTTGATTAACCCCCCCCCCCCCCAAAATCTCAAAGCAGTAATGAAAGAGGAACTGGGAAGCTCTTGCGGAATTCAGGAAATTGAATCATAGAATAGTTTGGGTTGGCAGGGACCTTTAATAGTCCTCTAGTCCAGCCCCTCTGCAGTGAGCAGGGACATCTCCAACTAGAGCAGGTTGCTGAGAGTCCCGTCCCAACCTGACCTTGAATGTTTCTAGGGACGAGGCATCCACCACCTCTCTACTCAGCTTGGTGTCATCAGCAAACTTGCTGAGGGTGCTCTTGATTCCACTGTGTATGTCATTGATGAAGATATTAAACAGCACTGGTCCCACTGTGGACCCATAAGAGTCACCTCTTGTCTGGTTTCCATTTGGACATTGAGCCAATGACCTCTGGATGTGACCATCCAACCATTTTGTTATCCATCCATCTGATAGTCCACCTATCAAATCTATATCTCTCCAATCTAGAGGGAAGGATCTTGTGGGTGGACCAAGTCAAAGGCCTTACAGAAGTCCAGATAGATGACATCCATAGCTCTTCCCTCGTCGACTGATGTAGTTACCCTGTCACAGAAGGCTGCTAGGTTGGTCAGGCAGGACTTGCCTTTGGTGAAGCCATGCTGGCTCTCAGATCACCTCCCTGTCATTCGTGTGCCTCAGCACAGTTTCTGGGAGGATCTGTTCCATGATCTTTCCAGGCACAGAGGTGAGGCTGACAGGTTGGTAGTTCCCAGGGTCCTCCTTTCTACCTTTTTAAAAATGGGGTGACGTTTCTGTTCTTCCAGTCACTGGGGACTTCACCTGACTGCCGGAACTTTTCAAATATCACAGAGAGTGGCTTGGCAACTACATCAGCCAATTCCCTTAGGACTCTGGGATGCATCTTATCAGGTCCCGTAGACTTAGGTATGTTCAGGTTCCTCAGGTGGTCACGAACTTCATCTTCTACATAGGTAGGGACTTTTCCCCCTTGATGCCCAAGTCTGTTGACTTGGAATCGAGGCAGAAAAGTTGAGTACCTCAGCTTTCTCTTCATCTGTTCTTGCCAGATTGCCACTCTTCCTCACCGGGGGGGACGTGCTTTCTTTAAACTTCCTTTTGGTCTGTGGTTTTTATCTGTGAGTTTCAGCATGCTCGTGGCTGTTCTTCAGGGACAGCTCTTCATGCTATCCATTTCTTGACGCAGAAGGCAATACCTCTGCCTCTCCTTCTTTGCCTGTCCTTTCTGAACAGCCTGTGGCTGCCCATAGCTGCACTCCAGTCATGGGATTTGTCCCACCAAGTTTCAGTACTGGCAACTAGGTTGTAGCTTTATAGCAGCATGGTGGTTTCCAGTTCCTCCTGTTTGTTGCCCATGCTGCGTGTGTTTGTGTAGAGGCTTTCAGCTGGGCTGTCAGCCATGTTGCCTTCTTAGAGGAACTCCCCTTAATTCCTTTGAGGTACTGCATTGGTGTTCCCCTGTTGGCTCCTATTACCTGAGGAGCCCCTGGCTCATCTCTGTAGGACTTCAAGTGGGCTGCAGTGTAGCCAGCATGCCTCAGAGCAACAGGCTCAGGGCCCTCGCTACCAGTACCTTCTCTGGTCTTTGCTCCCCATCATTATTCTTCGGTACATGTCAGATGATACTGCGTTTGGATTTTGCTTTGAGGGAGGTTGTTTTTTTTTTTTAATGAAATGTATAGACATCACCCATGAAAACAGGAGCAGACATGCATACCAGGAAGGACGGTGCCAGGAGACGTGCATGCCTGAAAAACTACTAGGTATTTATAGGTGAAAAGGAAGAGAGGGAGAACTGCTGGGCAGTAAATCAAGGCTCTCTGAATACATCATTTTTTTTTCATTTGATTTAATAGTTTTGGCTAGCAGCATGGTTTGGAGGAGAGTTGGAGGTTTTTGTTTAAAGCAAAATAGTTAGTTTGACCCATAATAATGTTAAAGATTTAAAGGTACTTCTTAAATGTTTGTAGTCTCATCCAGAACCTAAAGCTTGATGTACAGCAGTATAGAGTCTGCTTTAGTAGTAAGTAAGGTATATGAGATTATGGCTTGTGTGTGTCATTAAGGGAGGGATTCTATTACAAGCCTCTTTTCCTTTTAAAATCAGTCTTCCACCTCAGCATAGTCTACCTCAATCCAGTTTAAGTCTTTTAGCAAGCAGCAAAGGGTTTTGGTGTAAAAGCCAATTAGCTTTGGTCTTTGCTCATTTAAGAAGATAAAACGACTTTGAGTTACTTGAATTGTCTCCTAGAACTACACTTCCAAGTTTCAATTTTCAGCACTTGAAATGTTCTGCTGGGAGCTGTGATTGTGAAGCGCATAGTTAGATTTATAAAGCTGTTTAAGTTACAGTCTGATTTAGGCCTCAACTCTGGTTTTCAAAAAGAATTGGAACTCCAAAGTTTTGAAGCTCAGTTGTAAAAGCAAGTAATTGAGAGAAATCCTTTAGCAGTCAGAAAATTCAATTTTAAATGGAAGGGTATGAATCAAGTGTACTTCCTAGTAGAATTTTGGGCCTGCGTAGAATTCCAAATCCTGACTGGATCTGTGGTGAAAACTGAAGTTTTATGTATGCGGTTCTAGGTAGACCTGGACTTCTGCTGCGTTGCAACTTGGACCCACTGAATTTATGATAAATAACTATCACAATGATCTTCTGAACCTGTACTAAGTTAACTCCTAGACCAATAGCTGCTGACAGACTAAAACATCTAGCGAAACATTAAATATGTTTTTGAGGTCATAAGAGAATAATGGAAAAGCTGGTTTTTCCAAACTGAACATATCACAGTGCACGTGTTTCTATTCAAAAACAGAAATATCCATTGTTTAGACAGACAGTTTTATATTCTAGACATTTTATACTTTGCCTATTAATCTCTCACATTTTTTAATTAAGCTATAAATGTAGGTTTTACAGATGTAATTGCATATTACTCTTATTTGATCTGTGTTACTCTAAACCCATGTAAATCAGGATTTTCGTAAAGAGGCATCTGGGGCTGAACTCAGCTTTAAAAGTAGTCTGTAAATTACTGGTATGGATGGTGAACACTGGCATTATTGGCACCACATTAGCAAAAGTGGGGTTAGGGTTACCTTGGGTAGGATTTGGATTTGGATACCTGTTAATTTTGTTCTGCATAATTTCACTTTTCCTCTATGTATACATTGCATGAGTGCATTTTAGGAAGGGAAGATGCCCACTGAGATCCCACTCATTCAGTCAGTGCACACAGATTTAGAAACTGTGATGCTGAGAATTTTTTTCCTGTTGTAACTGAAAGCTGAGGCGCTCTCTTCCCCTGGTTCATGTTTGCTTTATTAGTAATGTATAGTGTCAGAGTTTGACGATTGATTTCTTTACCATGTTTAAAGTTCTTCAGAGTTTTGTGCTGCTCTTATGAAAATACTCTCCTCCTTCCTCCTGAGCTCGTCCTTCTTGAGTAACAGGTAGTGGGTGCATGTGGGAGGGCTTTTTGCCCTGCTTCTGCTCTGCTCTGCAGGCTGTGACATGATGAGATTGAGAACTCTTTGCATGGTTAGTTTGGAACGGTGCCGTTCCCAAAGCACCGTTACGTAAGGTCCTTGGGGGCGGGGGGTGTTGTGGTGGTTGTTTCTTTAACTCTGGAAAGTTGTGGCATCCAGCACATGTTCCAGCTAGCAATTATTTTTATAGATCTGCAGTTTATGCTATAACGCACTTCAGTTGTTAAATTAACAGCATGGGTGCCATATTGCTCTTTAAAAGACTTTCTAGTCTGTTGAAAAATACATACCCTTCATTTAATCTTGAAGTGAGCTGAAGAATTTTGAGAGTAGCTGTACAAAGTGCTCTGCATTTCTGGAGAAGGAACACATGCAATTCTCCTTTCACGTTTCCAGCAGTTTTAATTCTAGAGGAACATTTTTGACAAGTGTAAATTTTATTTGTGCAGCCTCAGCACGTAAATCTGAAGATGCTCAAATACCTTGTGATCCCCTTTCAGTATCTGTACCCTTCCTGCTTTGGTTGTCTTCCTTTTATGTTGTTTTATTGTTACACTTTATTTTCTATTTTTTCTTCTTAACCCTAGTTCTCTTTCTTTTTAGTCTCTTTCTATCTTTATTTACTGTATAGATGGTTCCAAGTTTAAGGAGAAGATGATTCTTTTCTCAAGCAGGTAGACTTGCATGTCCTGTGTGTGCCTGACATTTATTAATTTTGTTCTCTGGTTTATATTGAACCTCACTGCTGTGTTGGGTGATGGTCAAAAATACACACTCTTGTAACTCTGCTTTAATTATTTTAGGTGAGGATGGGCCATCTCAGATGGGACTGGAGGATCTGTGCATGTTCCGGGCTATTCCCAATGCCACTGTGTTTTATCCTAGTGATGCTGTAGCCACTGAAAAAGCAGTGGAAATAGCTGCCAACACCAAGGTTTGCACCGTAGTGTTTCTGAGCCAGAGAATTTTTGTTGTTGTTGTTTTTTGTTTTGTTTTGTTTTTTGTTGCTTCGACAATGTCTCTTGCATGTTTCTACCCACACAAATTCTTCCAAAGGCTCCAGTGTGGCAGTGGGATGTTTTCTTTGCGTGGAAAGGCTGCAGACATTCTGTCCAGGCCAGTGCAGAATGAACAGTCTGGAATGCTGTGGGCCAGATTAAGGGAGATGGAAATGATTCCACAGTTGGGGTCTAAACTGGTTATTGGCATGCTCTAAAAAGTTAACTGTATTGTGATGTCTGAAATGACTAGCCATGGAAAAAGGACTAACAGGAGTTGGCGGGTGGAGAACGCTTTACTCAGTAGAACCAGATGCAACATCGAAGGGTGAAAACCAGACAAATAGAAAAAGTCATTTTGCTGTATTTTTTCTTAGGCTTTACAAACTAGAATATCAGCACCTTTCTGGTTTTGTAATCTATAACACGTTTACTTTGGAAACAGGGCATTTGTTTCATAAGGACTAGTCGTCCTGAAAATCCTGTCATTTACAACAACAATGAGGACTTCCATATCGGACAGGCAAAGGTAAGTATTGTCCAAATAAACAGAACCAGAGAAAATACACCAAATTCCTCCTGTAAATGCCCCTTTCCCTCTAAAGCATTCTAATGCCATAGATTTGGTCTTTTCAATAAAATTACCAGAAATGTTAGAAATATCAGTAAGATTTCTTGTTAAAAATACATGGAAACATTTTTTTGCAGGTGGTTCTGAAGAGCAAGGATGACCACGTGACCGTGATTGGAGCGGGAGTCACCCTGCATGAGGCCCTGGCTGCGGCAGAGCAGCTGAGAAAAGGTGATCAGATTATGGGGTTGTTTTTTCCCTCTTTTTTCTTTTTTTTCAATCATTTAACACAGCAAAGATACCAACACCACTCAGCTGAACTGCTCACTCTTTGTACTGGTAAACATTAATTAAAAATGTTACAGACAGCTAGTCACCTGTTAAGCTGATGCAGCTCAACATAGTCTATATCTGCCAATCTTGCCTAACTGAGTAAGCTTTAGGTAGATTAGCTGTATTAGTAGCCATTAAAATTGCCAAACTGATCAGACCAAAGCCTCCTTAGAATTGCTGATCTGGCTGAAAATGCCCTGCAAGCAGAATCATAGAGGAAGTGTGTAAGAATGCAGGAGTGATCCTTCCCTGGCACATTGCTGGGGTACCACCAGCATGGAATTGCCAGCTAACAAAACACCGCTTGCCTGCTAAGCCACAGCAGCTTGCCCAGCACAGGTGGTACGCGGGGCCTTCGTGTCGGCGTGGGTCACTGCTAACTTGGGTCTTCTGAATGAATATCAACTTCTAACTAGCGTGGGAGGCACTAGTTGTGTGATGGTGGTGCTCAGATGTGCTGACATCGCACAGTGAAGATAAAACTCCTTCACTGAATGAGACAGAAACCATCAAAAAAACATCTGTGTCAGTAGCCTGCGCCCAGGAAGAGATTACAAATAATAAGCCATAATATAATTAATGCTGCCTGTGGCTTATGGTAGCTTTGGTGCTGTATCTAGGTGAACAGATACTTTGTCATGACCTTGAGCCATCAGGCTTAGGGCTTTCTGAAAGCTGTATTTTCAGAACTGTTATTTTTCTGCATTAACCGTGCTTTGTGATGCTCTGCTGATCTTGGAATTGTGAATAGCCAGCTAAGGAGAAATAATCCTTTAGCATAGACATCATGTCTAATGCCTGAAATATACTGGCCACTAAAGAGACTTCAGTCACAAAACTGTCAGCATAACATAGGGCTTCTTTATGTATGGTGAGAGTTGACTCGGTTCAGCTGGCCAGGAGTAGATAAAACCTCTGTAATTTCCTGTTCTCCACAAAGTCGCCACTTGCATATAGCTTTAACGAGCAGCCTGGGCCTGCCTTGCAATGACAGGGCAAATTTTGGTTTTGGTGCCAGGACCAGAGCTGGGGCAGTTCAGACAGGCATACCTGATAGGTAGGCATACCTGATAGGTAGGCAGCCTGCAGTGAGGAGTTCAGAATACCTACAGACTGCAGAAGCAGGAGGAAATTGTGATTGGCTTGACAATAAAGTTAAAGGTAAAATAAAGGCCTGGGACAAAAATTGAGATGGACAGTCTGAATAAGGAGGATTTTCTGGCAATCAGATTCTGCTCTTACCTCTGGGAAGGCCAGTTAGATTACTGGTTTACTGGCAGGCACTCCTGGTGACCTTGAGTTGCATATCCAATGCTTTTGTGCCTCAAGAGTTTTGTCTGTGGAATGGGTGGCTGTTACTATCTCACAACATGCAGGAAGAAAGAATACATACAAAAATTAAGGTTGTTTGGGTTCCGTGGTAGAGAAGCCATAGGTACAGATAGCTGGGAGTCAGCACAGGCAGTTTTCATAATGGCTCTAAAAGGTCACAGGGCCTCCTGTACCACTTGTTGTCTTGCACCCTCTAAATTCACATTGCAAATCATTCTGTTTCTTCAGAAAAAATCTTCATTCGTGTGATTGATCCCTTCACTATAAAGCCCCTGGATAAGAAGACAATACTTGAAAATGCCAGAGCAACCAAAGGCAGAATCATCACTGTTGAGGACCATTACCATGAAGGTAAGCTGAGTCCAGGAGGTCACAGCCCACACAGTTGTTGCCCAGGGGTCAGAAGGTCACAGCTTCTCCTGACCTGAGAGAAAAGTATGTGACCTGATGCCATCGTTCAGTTAAAGCAAAGGAGAGGTTTTAGCCTTTTTCATTGCTGTTACAATTATAAGATGACTCTGAGGGCTGAAAGTCTCCTAAGATACAATGAGTTAATCAGGGCTGCCTTGGTGATTAACTCAGCCTTGTGTGCCTTTCTGTATGCTGGGTCCTAGTGAAGTCTTGATTCATTTGTGCCCACTGAAATTGTAAACTCCTGCTGCAGTGCATTCTGTTCTCATAATGGTTTTACAGCAGCTGACCTGCAGTTTGTTAAATTGCAAGAGACACCATTGTCATACAAGATTCTTAATTTTTCCCTGTGTCCAAAAGCTTGATTCCAGGTTGCTTGAAATCAGATGGTTTGGGAGGTTCTGCACTCATTCTGGGATAAATTCCTCTCTCTTTGTTCTCCACTACTATAAAAGAGCAGATCAGGGCTTGTGAGAACACAGAACTTTACATCCTCACTGGATGTTTTTTGTTCCTCTGTTTCACCTGCTTACAGGCCATTTCAGTGTCTATTGCTGCTCTGTGATAGTGTTCTTAAGCCAGGGTGGAAAGTGCATGATGCATACAAGAAGGAATGTCTAAGATAAAGTAAATCTTCAGATAAAATGCTTCTTAGGAGAAGCAGAATAGTCTGTAAGACTCCTCCAGCTTCTGTGCCAGGATTTAGTATTGTAGAATCATTTAGGTTGGAAAAGACCCTTAAGGTCATTGGGTGCATCCATTCCCCCAGCACTACGAGGTCACCACTAAACCATGTCCCTAAATGCCATGTCAACACATCTTTTAAGTGCCTCCAGGGATGAGGACTTCCCTGGGCAGCCTGTTCCAACACTTGGTAAACCTTTCAGTGAGGAAATTTTTCATAATATCCATCCTAAACCTCCCTGGTGCAACTTGAGGCTATTTCTTCGTCTTATTTCTGGTTACCTGGGAGAAGAGACCAACCTCTACTCACTTCAGCCTCCTTGCAGGGAGTTGTAGAGAGCAATAAGATCACCCCTTGAGCCTCCTTTTCTCCAGGCTAAACAACCCCAGTTCCCTCAGCCACTCCTTGTAAGACTTGTGCTCTAGACCCTTCACCAGCTTTGTTGCCACCATTTGGATGTGTTCCAGCCCCTCAATGTCTTCTCATAGTGTGGGGCCCAAAACTGAACCCAGTATTCAAGGTGCATCCTCGCCAGTGCTGAGTACAGGGCGACAATCCCTGATCTAGTCGTGCTGACACAAGCCAGGATGCTGGTGGGCTTCTTGGCCACCTGGGCACACACTGGCTCATAGTCAGCCAGCGTTTGACCAACACTGTCCTGCTCCCTTTTCCACCGGGCAGCTTTCCCGCCACTCTTCACCAGGCCGATAGTGATGCATGGGGTGGTTGTGACCTGAGTGCAGGACCTGGCACTTGGCCTTGTTGAACTTCATGCCATTGGCCTTGGCCCAGCCTGGCGAGATCCCTCTGCAGAGCCTTCCTCAAGCAGGTCCACACTCCCACACAAATTGGTGTTGTCTGCAAACTTACTTAGGGTGCCCTTGATCCCCTCATCCAGATCATTGGCAAAGACATGAAACAGAACAGGCCTGGGGAACACCACTTGGGACTGGCCACCAGCCGGCTTCAACTCCATAACCTGCAGCCACTTGCTCTCTGGTGTGCCTTGTTTGCACAGGTTTTCAGAGGCTTGCCTGTGCAAACGTGTCCTGTGAGATGAGACCATGTGCAAACAGAGAGCAGCTGTTGTGAGTCGCACGTGTCGTGAGCTGGCAACTAAGCACCACACAGCCACTTGCTCCTCCCTCCACCCCACTGGGATTGAAAACAAGTACAGCTTGTGGGTTGAGATAAGAAGAGTTTGATAATTGAAATAAAAATTAAAAGTAATAGCAATAATTGTAATGAAAAGGAAGATAACAGAGAAAAATAAAAGCCAAGAAAGACAAATGATGCACAGTGCAATTGCTCACTGCCTGCTGATGGATGCTGAGCCAGGGGCCCTGAGCAGCGATGGGCCCTCCTGACCCCTTTCCCCAGTTCATATACTGGGCTTGACATCATACGGTATGGAATGTTCCTTTGGCCAGTTTGGGTCAGCTGTCCTGGCTCTGTCCCTTCCCAGCTTCTTGTGCCCCTCCAGCTTTCTCGCTGGCAGGACATGAGATGCTGTTAAGTCCTTGACTTGGGAGACTCACTACTTAACAACAACGAGAACCATCCGTGTGTTATCAGCATTATTCTCACCTTAAATCCAAACCACAGCACTGCACCAGCTGCTAGAAGTAAATTCTATTCCAGCTGAAAGCAGGCCAGCATGTCAGACTTGCTCCTCTTGAGCAGAGATGGAGAAATTAGCAGAGGGACAGCTATGAAGTATGGCATTAGCAGATACTGTAGATATCTGCTAATAGAAATTAGTAGATACTATGATAATATTATCTTGCTTTAAGATGAAGCATCACTTCCCAGGTATCTGAAGTGATTTGGCACTACCGTAAGCGCCGGTGACGCCATGCTTTTGTTTCAGACTATGGATGGTGATAGCATCATCATTTTCTAGATTAGCTTTCAACTCTGGACAAATATTCTACTGCAGATTTGCAAGATGGAAAAATCATCATGCTCTGAGGTGATAAGCATGCAGTTTACACTTGCACAGCTTTCTCTGTGATATACAGTCAAGGAAGGTCAAGTGTACACACATCACAAGCCTGAATGCATTGCAAGCCCACGTTGGGCTGATCTTACCAGCTGCATCCCTGGAGGTGGCTCAGGCTGGAGGCTCAGGTTGACAGGTTAAATCACACGTGCCTGGAGTGATGAAAAACCCTGTGTTCCTGGAGACACCTGAACTGAAGTGCAGCACCAATGTGTCTCTTCTACCAGCTCTTGGGAGTACACATTCTTGACACTGGTCCTATGTTTCCTTCTTCCCTGGTAGACCTGTTCCCAGTGTCTGTCCTGCTGCCACCCAGTTCCCTGTTGCATCCTTTGTCCCTGTGACTGACAGTGATTCAGTCTGAGCTGAGCTCTAAGCAAAGGTTCTGAATTCACTACATGACTCAGAGAGGTGCTTAGTGGCACGTGCAGGCGTTGTGAAAAGATGGAGCTTCTAAATGCTGTTGAGATTGGTGGGAATTAAGGCTTTCAATGCATTAGGAACAATTCTAAATATTCCTCAGTCTAAATATATCTTGTAATCTGGCTTTTGGTGGCTGATGCTGAAGTGGCTGAGGGCTTCTTGACAGTTCTGTGCCCTTCAGAGTTCTATGTTTCTTACTGCCAGCTTGTAAGTACTTCAGAAATGTCAGGCTGCTTGTCTTCAGAATGCCTTTGAAACAGGGAGCTGTTTTCATTTCACGAATGGGCAACTCGGATATATGTTGTGACTGCTGTTTCTCATGAGCACATGTATTGAGGATTTAACCTTTGCATGGAATGTGTGTGCAACCTGTGCATTGCCTGTTGAAGCACGCACATGGATGTTGTTTGACTTGTGTTCACAGGTGGCATTGGAGAAGCAGTGTGTGCTGCAGTGGTGGGGGAGCCTGGTGTCACAGTCAGTCGCTTGGCTGTATCTCATGTACCGCGCAGCGGGAAGTCAGCTGAGCTCCTGAAGATGTTTGGCATTGATAAAGATGCCATTGTGCAAGCCGTTAAGGCGGCAGTGTCCAAATCGAGAAACGCGGAGTAGTTTGAAGCATCTTGTGCCGTGTTACAGAAAAGCAGTGTTCAGAGACGTACTGTAAGTGTAAAGCAAGCAAAGGTGCTTTATGTAGAGAGTTCTAATAAAAATACCAGCTTAAAAAACCTTCTGGGTTTTAATCTCTTTTTTTCTGTGGGGTAACATCTGCATGTGTTCAGTCATTGAAAAGCCTTCAGGTTATCTAACAGTCCATGGGCAGCAGCCCTCTGCCTGCCTGCCGTGTAGCAGGAGCACTTTCTGCTCTGCCACCACCCTTCCCTCTGGTGAGCAGCAGCGTGTTCACTGACAGGCTGAGCAGGCTGTGCTTCAGCCAGGGAACAGGCTCTGGGCGGCGCAGCTGAGAGTGAATCCAGTAACTTCCTGTTCAGTGTTTGGTCTAATTCACCGCTGAAGATTAGAATCCTGTCTTGAAGGGAGTTTGGTGAAAGCATTTCTTCCTGCACTGCCTGAAGAGTTGACTAGTGCCTCCTTGGACAGCACAGTTAGGCTTTGAATAGTGAAAATCAGGCATGTGTATTGCAGGAGAAGGGGGACAAACACCTTTGCTTCAGTTCCTCCTCTGCATTGCCCCCCAGCCATTTAAAACCATGTGCTGGATGATGTCGAGGTGGAAGGTGACGTACCACGTCCTGGGGAAGCAGCAGAGGAAGGTGGAGGCCCAGAAGACTGATGGAATGAGTGAGGAGCTGTGTGCTCAGGAGCAACTTACAGCTCAGGGACCACAAGCTCATTTAAGGAGGTTGAAACTTCATAGGAACTTGCCTCGTATGTTTGAGTGCGGGGCCAGTGCCACAGGAAGGGTGATGCACCGTGGAAAGCGCTGCCCATGGGCAAGAGGCAGGAATGTTTAAAATGCCGAGATGGACTCAAGAAGGAGCTGAAAGAAGAGGAGGAAACTTGGAGACACCTGAGAGGATGCAGCTGAACATGTAAGTTGCTTTCTTCCTGTAGAATTGACTCCCGTCATGTGAGCTGCTTTAAGCTGGGTGAACTGTTCATCTTGCATCATGGATTCCGCTGGTGATTTTTAAATGTTTTGCCTATTTTACACTTAAGCAGCTTCTGTTTAAGAAAAATGAAAAATTTGACTGCAGAGTACCAAATTTTAAAACATATTTATTATGTTTCTCATCCTGACTACTCCAGAAACTGCCTTTCAGGAAGATGTTATACAGCAGAGGAAATTAATCTCTCTTTAATCTCTTTTTTTCTGTGGGACCTTGTGCAGTGAGGTAATATCTGAATATTTTCAGTCATTGAAAATCAGCCTTCAGGTTATCTAACAGCCTGTGGGCAGCAGCCTTTTGCCTGCCTGCTGTGTAGTAGGAGCATTTTCTGCTTTCATATAAAGCAATTTCCATCATAGCAGGGTGACTACGCACAGTTTTTGGTTCACCTGAAAGCCATTTGACATAAACAGTGCTACACTGATCTGAGAAAGAATTTTGTTGCCAATTAACACACAAAATATACTGTATTTTATGACAGACTATTTCTACAACAACCTGTACATAGTTTATGTAAATGATAATATAAATATTACAGAATAACTTATATTCATCATTACTGCTTAATTTAACCCCTGACATGTTAGATAACTGCTGTGTTGGTACAGGCCTGCACACAATCGCTGGTATTTCTGCATGTGCAAATGGAAATGCCAACAATGGGCCTTAAAATTTAAAATCAACTACAACTAAAAAGTAAGTTTTTTAATTTTATGAGCAAAGCTTGAAATTAGTTCTCTAAAACTAATGGCTTTTAGATCCACATTTCCTTACAGTCTCATTTTTTATGGCTCTGACTTGATGCCTTCATCCTTCTATGGGTATGAAGATTTTACGACTTTATTAAAAATTTAAAGGTATCCCCTTTTTTGTTTTGCAGTCTGTCTATGATTGCATTAACCCTACGTATATAATGCATAATGCATTGCTATAAAATGAATATCAAGGTTGCACTTTATTTTACACAAAGGAATAGAAAAGCTGGGGGATAAGCCCACTCAAGCACTTTATTTTTCCTCTCAGAAGAAGAGATTAAATTTGCTGCTGTTAATAATCTCATTACTGCACCATTATGTCACTGCATGTAAAATCTCACCCAGCTTCCACTGGGTGAAATCATTATGTGCCCACTATATTGAGTTCTGCCACAATAAATTAATCTGCTTCAGTGCTACTGCACTGTTGGGGCTCAGCTGTGTAAGCAAGCAGCTGGTGTTTGCCTGGTCTGCGGCGTCACAAGGGGGGAAGAGGAGGTGGCTCTGTGGCTGCCAAGATTCCTACTGAAACAGCCAGAGCCTGATCCAGGACTAGTGGAGGATAACATTGGTCATTTTGTTGACTTTGATACAGCATAGACAGACTAATGTGTGCATGGGTGAGGGAAGGAGAGTGTGTTTATATTTAATGCAATTAAAGCAGCTCTTTTAATACTAGAAATTCGGATATCAGGATTTTGTTGAACTCACCTGAAATCCTCCTCCTAGGCAGATTTCCTCACACCTGCACAATGGGGAAAAAAAAAAAAAAAAAAAAAAAAAAAAAAGACTGTCAGGTCTGTTGTTGAAATTGTCACGTATCTTATGCAGGTTTTCAACATTCTTCATATTTTCTCTTCACATACACAGATATACGAGAGCCTAGAGCTGTTCTGAAGACCCAACAAGAGAAACCTACCCCACCAGCCCCCTGAATTTCAAATTGAGCTATACAATTCTTATTCAGACATTGTCAGGAAGTAGTTAATACCCCATGCAGGCCAGACTATTAAACATTTGAAAATGCTCTGCCACATGGAAAATCTCAAGAATTATTAATTTTCAAACCCAAGCAGTTTAATGAACTGTAGTAATTTCTTTTTTTTTTTTTAATTAAGACGACTGGAAATTGTAGTTTAGATAAGGTGGTCTTAGGACTGGACCAAAACAAGGTACCCAGGAAGGTCTAGAGAACGTGTATGCGGGCAGTAAAAAATCATTATTACCTGTTAGCCTGAATTTGTCAAGCAGAGGAACAAAACTGTCAAGTAGGCTCCGAATCCGATACACTAAGTGTGAAAACAAACATTTTTTTTCAAGATAAGTCAGACAGCAAGATAAAACATAAACACCAGAAAAATGGCAAAAACCAAACACTGACGCTTGCAATACAAAAGAACCCAAGATTACTGTTTAAAGAAGCACTTATCCAATAGCATCAATAACAAAGCAGTAACAAGGCTGGTTCAGAGATCCATCCACAACCTACCAAAAACATTAGCACAAGGTTACAAAGGAGATCTCTGTTCTCAGCTGGGAAGCCATAACTTGCTGCTAGTTGCACCCTTCCTACACCATCCCTACGGATTGCCAAAAATGCCCATTTTTTTTAATAGCATTTTGAGTAGCTGCTGCCACCCAGGTTCTGCTGAGAGCTCTTCCTCAGGGTGTTCAGCTGCCTCAGTCCCAGGGGAGTGAATGGCAGCCTGAGTGCGCACCACCTGGTAGAGAGTATCTGGGAAGATGCCTGGCTGTTAAAATTATGTTGTCATGGCAACTTAGCATTCAGCCATTGCTGCAGAAAGAGGTGACACAAGGTCCTGTGATCACTGAAAACGAAAAGTGAGTCAACCTCTCCCTCCAGTGTCACTAAGGCACATTTCTCTCCAGCCACATTGTTAATTGGGATGTTACAGGGTAGTGATATGATGATTTACAGAATCTCAGCACTCACACCTTTACAGACTTGTGTGGTGTAGTGACTGTGTGACCTTGTACCCTTCGCATGGACACAGAGCTGGCTGCTGTAGGCACACTTACCTAGACCAAAGTATATCCCAGTGGTTTCCAGGGAAGCAAAGGTGACTAAACCGATTCCAAGAGAAATAGTCCAATCTAAGACAATAAAATAAATGTTTGGCTTTGCTCATTTTTCTAGTGTGCAACAATTTACCTTTCTATTGAACTCTTGCCTTACCTTTGTAGTAGTAGTAGCAGATTAGTAAAGCCCCAATTGCAAAGCAAAGAATGACAAAGTGAAAGAATTCATCTGAAAAAGAGAGGAAAAATGAGGTCACCACTGCAGGCAAGGCCCTTACAAATACACCTTAAGGTCCAGGGTATCACTCGCAAATAAGTCTATTTCCACGAGACATCTCGTACACTGTGCTCAACTGCGAAACATACATGCACACAAGGCATTATCAGAAGCCTCGATGATGTTCATCACGAAGCCCTGATGCCCTCAAAGTACTCATCTCGGGGAACAACATTTTTTTTGAACCACAGATCTTATTAGTGGACGAAGGTTCAACAGGGTTGATTGACATCAGCTGAATTTAAAGAAAACAAATCAAATTACCATCCTTCCGTATGCCCATCCACCGTACTGCCCACTGCTGGAGTCGACCGTTCTCTTGCTCATATGCTACAAAAAAAGAAATGCCTTTTATTGCTGTAGAACTCTGAAATTAAGGACTTCTAAGGTTATTTCCCTTTTTGTATCTGAAATCAGTTCTCAAAGCAGAATATATATATAAGAATGTTGGTTCAAAGGGAAGAACTACAAGCTTTTCAGAATGATCAAATTAGCAATTTTAATAGTCACTCTAAAAAGAGTAGGTTTTTTTTTTTTTTAGAAAAGGCATAATCAGATGGTTAACAATACAGAATTGTTTTAAAGCACTCTGGGTCTTTTCTATCTATTCTGGGACAACAGTAGTACAAGGGAGCTTCAATTTTACTCTTGGGTGTTTTCAACAGTCACAGCTACAATGATATAACCATCTTCATCACCAAGCATGTGAGTACCATCAGTCTACTTAAGTCTGATGTTTAAGTGTTTCTGCACCTGCCAAACCAAGAACTGTAACTGACAATGAGTCTCCTAGAGCTGGCTACACTGATACATAGAAAGAACAAATGTAAAAACAAGATATTTTTAGGGGTTTAAATAGAGAGCATTTTGCTCTGTGGTAGTTGAGAGCAGAGCTGCCAAATTCTGTCCCTTCTCCAACTGTATTGTTAGAAAGGGCCGAATGTTTTACTAGATTTCAAATTACATGTTCAAAGCAGTTTGTTGTTTTTTTTTTCTTTTTTGTTTGTTGATTGCTTGAGAAGACCC